TCTCAAGCAAATCCCGGGACGTCATTCTCCCCTTGTACTCGGCCTTGGTGAGGCCACAGCTGGAGTACTGCATCCAGTTTTGGGCTCCACAATTCAAAAAGGATGTGGAGAAGCTTGAGAGAGTCCAGAGAAGAGCCACGCGCATGATCAGAGGTCAGGGAAGCAGACCCTACGATGACAGGCTGAGAGCCCTGGGGCTCTTTAGCCTGGAAAAGCGCAGGCTCAGGGGTGATCTGATGGCCACCTATAAGTTTATCAGGGGTGACCACCAGTATCTGGGGGAATGTGTTTTCACCACAGCGCCCCAAGGAATGATGACTAGGTCGAATGGTCATAAACTACTACTAGACCATTTCAGGCTGGACATAAGGAAGACTTTCTTTACTGTCCGAGCCCCCAAGGTCTGGAACAGCCTGCCACCGGAGGTCGTTCAAGCGCCTACATTGAACACCTTCAAGAGCAAACTGGATGCTTATCTTGCTGGAATCCTATGACCCCAGCTGACTTCCTGCCCTTTGGGCAGGGGGCTGGACTCGATGATCTTCCGAGGTCCCTTCCAGCCCTAATGTCTATGAAATCAATGAGAGTTCAAAACAACAAGAAAAATACTTCGTTTACTAGGAAAAAAAAAATGTGACTGTAGTTGTCATAATAAGCAAGTCTGACTCCTAAGGAGAATTCTGAGCCTTTCAATAAAAGAGCTCTATTTTTTTTCTATTTCTGTCTCACATAGTGTTTTTTTGTGAGGTTAATATATAAGAAGACGGGAGTTCCATGGTAAGAACATAACTGTAAAGCCTGGGTTTTCCTTTGTATCAAATGCTCTTTTCTCTGGGTATTTGGTTAATTCTGTTGAATTGTCAAAGTGTTCTGAACCTAAATGTACAAAGGGTAATGTTGCCTAACCCAAATAGATTCAGCATGACCATTTTGTACATCTTTTTTGATGATATGAAGACCCATATAAGTGCTGTATTATTAGCCTTATGCTTACTAAAATGGTTTAGCAACAACTTCTGCAAGTTCTCCAACAATCTGAGGAAAGCTTGAAAGAAGCAAGGATGTTTAGTTTGGAAGAAAGAAGTTTAAGAACAGATGTGATAGCAATTTCCAAATATTTTATAGGCCTCCATAAAGAAGTGGGAGAACAAATGTTCTGCCACACCACAAAGGGCAGGGCACAAAGTAATGAATATCAGATGAAATAAAACAGATTTAGATTAAAACTCAGAGAAAATTTCTTACTGACACAAATTTAGGACAATGGGACATATAAGTAAGTTGTAGGGAGTTCATTAGAGATTTTCAAGAGGCTAAATAAGTGCTTGACAAGTATGATTTAAGAAAACCGCACCCTGAATTTGTGCAGGGAGTTGGAATAGACCTGTAAGGTCTCTTCTAATCCTGATTTTATGTACTTTAACTGAAGGCTCATTAAAAGTTACATTTGAACAGAAACAAAAGATTAGATCCTTAGCTGGCTTAAACAGCCAGAAATACAATGCATTAGTTTAGTCCAGGAGATGATCTGGCCCAGAGGCTTTACATGTAAATGGCTTTATCTTGCATTCCTTGCACAACCCAAAATCCTTCTGTAGTCTTCAAAGCACAGTATATTTTGTAATAAATTGCAAAATGAAACAACAGATTAAAAATACACGCTCAATATAAGCAATGGACAGAACACCATCATAAAAGAGAGGGTGAAATAAATATATTATTTTAGTGAGACTTACCAAATGTTTTATGCTCTGTACTATTTAAATTTTTTTTGCATATAAAAGGAAATCCAGATTCACATATTTTATTTTGCCAGCTATACTGCATCTGTGGATTAAGTGCCATGCAGTGATTTTCTCTAAATGAATCCTCAGCAGAGCCTGCAAATAGCATTTTGAAAAATGTAAAATGAAGTAAAAATCACATGTATTTGTAAAACTGACTCATAGTTCTCTACAAATGTTACTGTATTGATATACAAACAAAAGCCTCTATCAAGTTAAGCCACCTTTCTTATCAACACTAAGTTACATAGAGGACCTGTTTGAATTCACAGGAACTGGATAACTGAACATCAGTCACAACATATATTTGTTTGGACATCCTCACTTGCCAATGCTGTGACATGAGATATCTGAGAAGTGCCAAGATCTCCATTTTCTGTTCCAATAAATAGACCTCAAAGATGGAACAAATCATGTCACAGAGTTTCCCATACTAATGTAAAACTAGTCAATCAAAAATTCTTTTCCCCACAAAACATATTAGAATCCATATTTTAAAAATATATTTAACAAAACACTGTCAATCACGATCATGAAAACTCCTCCAAAAGCAAAAGGGCAAGACTCCTAGTTGCTGTAAATTCATATAGTGAATTCTGTTGCAATCATTTGTCCAGCTTATGTACTTGGTCATCAGTGTGAAAAAACCTGCCCACAAAAATAGTACATCATTTCATGTAGTTCATTTTTCAGATAAGTAGCAGTTGCAGGAACAGTACTCTTATATTTTAACTTCAGTTACAGAGAGCATATAATTACAGTGCTATAATATATCCAAGAGGAACATCAAATACTTGGTCTCCAGTTCACAAATGCCAATGGTGCTCCATCTGACCACTGCCAGCCAGCAGCTGCATCCAGTTGATTCAGGCCTGTCCATAGCATAATTTCAGTAATGTTTAACTTCTCTGAAATATATGAAGGAGAAAAACAGACATTTCTTTCATGCTTTATAATATCTGTGGGTGCAGACAGGCTGCTATCAAATTGCATGACAAAAAACAGTCAAAATTCAAAATAAGTCATTAATAAGTGCTTAAGAATACCACTACTGCCAACAACCCTAAAAATACCACTGGCATTTACCCTCACTTCTTGATTAGGTTCACTTTAATTAGTAATTAGTATACTACTGAAAAAACAACAAATGTAGCCAGGGGTGCCACAATTAATAAATGTGCAGACATTCAGTAACTGCACAGCATTCAACTCTTTGCAACTCAGTTCTCTGCTACTTTTAAAACTTACAACATCCACCTGTCTCATCAACATGACTTTCACATCAAACCCTGTTTCAGATCTCCTAGACCAATATATAATGAACATGATTTTAAGGCCAATTATTTATAAAAATGTTCAGTTCCTTCACTTAAAAAACTTTTGCATTACATACACTAGTGAAAAATTAATGTCAGACTTTCCTGTTTGCTATATCCTGTTATTGCAAGTAACAATAATAGGAAGCAAGTTGTTATCTGCAAAGAGAGGAAGTAATGAGATTTGGAAATATAGATCTTTAGACCCCAATTCTGTAACCCTCTACCTACATTGATATCTTTAACTCACATTAATAAAATTACTGAGTTCCTAAGTATCAGACTCAAACAGGGCTAATTAAAGACTTTTTCTGCACACAGGAAAACAAAAAGCATACCAAAGAAGTGCTTTATACTTCTGAAGAAAGCACATCATTTCCCCATCAGGATATTTACTGAAAACCCCCTGAACATTTAGTGGTCATCCTAACCCAGTTAGTCTAGTAACTATTAATTGTGACACTGAGAATGAGGCATAGCCTTCATTTAAATGGATTTTTGTACATTATTTGCAGAATTCTCCAAAGAAAATGAACATTTCTGTAGCCATAGGTACAAGAACAGGATAACAAGTGTAATGGCAAATCATTCAGAAGGGTAAAGGATTAGTAAAAGATAACTGCAGTAGCACATATAAAACCTTTGAACTTGAGTAGTAAACCTACAGCTTATTTAACCTATAGTTTATTTAAACCTTTACTGGAGCTTTACTGGAGCACATGATGTGGAAAGACCTTGAAGGCAACAGTGGAAAATGGTGAATACTATTATCGGTGTGTACTGAGTAATCTCTCTTTGCAAACTTATGGAAGACCTTCTACCTGAACAAACTATGGGTGTGATTCTGCAGTTCTGAAGGTTAAGAGACCTGACCTAGTTATGAACTTCCCTAAAGTTTAGGGCTGTTTGGGTGTAAGTTTTGCTTTGAGCTGCTCCCCATAAAACACTATAATCAACGCTTTTGTTGAAATCCTAGCCCTCAAATTCTCATTGACTTTAAATTCAATTCAAATTTTCGTCCCTTGTGCCGTGCAGCCAAGCAAACTCAGCATGAATTTTTAGTTTAAGTATAAAAGACATACTCACCACTTTGGTCACTTATGTACTTCTGTTCTTCCATGTCTGTGATACTTAGCAAATCTCCTCCTTGTGTCTGACATGCAGCACGTGCCTCATTCCAAGGAAGAACAGAAAAAATATTGAACTGGTAACAAATGTGTGTGTCTTGTTTCTTCTGCCAAAAAGTGTCACAGCCAGTCTCTGCATGAGATGTCAGTTAAGAACAGAAAGTTACAAACCAATTGGATAGAAAGTACTATAATATAACAATTTAGGTAATACTGAACACCAAGAGGGCATGCAATGGAAGCATGGTTATGAACTCATTTTCAGTGCTCTGATGTCAAAAGTATAGAAGGAAGTTGGAGGCTATTTGAAATTAAAACAAGTCATATACATAAAGACCTAGTTGGCTTTTCATAATGTTAGTAAATATTAGGAGGCCAAACTCAGCTGATTTAATGTCACAGGTCTAAGTAAATCAACAAGAATATTGGCAATTTATACCAGCTAATGATCTGCCTCTAGGAACTTAAAGGTGAAACTGGCTCACTAACTTTCTAGGAGCAGGGTGAACCATGCTCATGCTACTGCTGAAGAGAGAGAAGGAAGATTAATCTCCCCTTATCAGAGTATACTCAGGGAATGAAATATTATACATGCTTGTTATAGCCATAATTGGCAATACTGAAGTTATCCATGCTGTGCGACTGACTGCCTTGGGCAGAATTTATCTGGGAAAATTTTAGCCCAAGTAGTTCAGCTGATTCCAAGAACAAGGGAAAATTATGTTTTCTCCCATTTAAAAATGATCCGTGTTGGATCCAGAGATTGGACTCAGAAAGGTATTAATATGGTGTCACACAATGGAATTTTTTTTAGATTGCTTTGTAAAAATTTAGGAACCTCTCTCTCTCACCCATCCACCCCTGGTTGGTTTTTTTTACGGGGGTTCTTTGACATCCTACCTCTCTCCACTGTTTTGCTGCTTATCGCAGAGCAAACTAACATTTGCCCCCAGGTTAACTTCTTACCCAGTAAACCTTAGTTCCAACTGTTCCAGTCTGAGCCTTGTACCTCCAGCAGAGGAAGTTTTGCCAGTTTATGAGTAATATTTCTAGGGTTTATATAAAATTATAGGTCCCCTCTCCCATAAAAGAGAGAATCCTGAGGCTACCAGCAGCTTAGAAAATCACCTTTACCACAGGCAATTAATACAATAAATAGAACAGCAAAGAAGTCATTACACAAACAAGAAAAATCACATATAGAAGCAACTGTGGGTTGTGGACAGAATACAAGAAAATAACTATAACAATTAAAGAAGGATCTTGCCCTGCATTTCTTACTAATATACAACACCCCTCTCTGCCCAGAGAGTTGTCCCGTTCTTTCCTGACAAAGCTTTCCTGAAAGCAGCTTCTCATCTTGCAGTCCTGTCTTCCATCAACTTGGGAACAAAATCATCCGAAGCCTAAGAATCTCTAGACCCTTTTGCCTTATCCTGCACATCTATGCACTGTCACCTTATATACTCATCTATATTTTTCAATTCAATGAGAATTGAAGTTTATGCATACTATGCAGATAACTTCCTCCCCACAGATATGCAGCTGTTTGCCATGCTAGATGACATTCCTGATCTACAATTACATGTTTTCTTGAATATGACACACCTTTTTATGATACGCCCAAAAAAACAAAACCCCAGCTGCTGGAAACGGGAGTGCAGATTATATGTTAGGAAATACGGCAAAAGCCATTTCTGCTGCTTACTGGATAAAAGTGAAAGTAAAATCTGCATGTAATCCACAGACGGTGCATCTACACGTGCTATTACAGGGGTGGGCAAGTATTTAAACTGGAGGGCCACTTAATGAATTTTGGTGAGCTGCCAAGAGCCAAAAGGGTAGCCCTGCCCCTCAACAGGTGTCTTGCCCCCTTGTCACCATCTTGGGACCAGAAGTCCCACCCCTAACCCCTGACCTTTGCCACTGGAAGTCCCTCCCCTTGCCCTGGAAGTACTCCTTTGGGCGGGGGGGGGGGAGGGGTTACCATCTTCCAATCACAAAAAATCTAAATTGTATACTAAAAAATCACACATCGACAATAATATATTTTATTTTGAAAAATATTTTTGTCCTGATTTGTGTGTTTTTTGCATATATAGAGGTGATTGCATAATAGCGCAAAATTAAGTCTTACTCTTGTACATTGGGGGAGGTGTAGGGGTGTGTCGAGAGGTATGGGGGATATGGGTGGGTGGGTATGGGTTTGGGGTATGGGTTTGGGTTGCTGTGGGTATATGTGTGTGGGTGTATGTGGGGTGTGGGTGGGTATGCGGTTTGTGGGGAGCTGTGTGTGTGTGTGTCTGTATGTGTAGATGTGGGGTATGAGGAAGGGCACCAGATGGTTCCTGGCTGCAAGGTGGGGCTCACAGGACTCTGACTCTGTGCCTCCATGTGCAGCTCCCGGCTAGAGTGCCAGGAATCCCAAAAGCCAGCACAGCCTGATGGCCTGAGACTCCCCACAGTTCCTGGCACTAGTGCACCATCAGGCTGGGTTGGCTCCATGCAGGTCCCGGGGTTACAGCTGGGAATCGTGTGCCACAAAGCCAGTCTGGCTGACTCCATGCCATGCTACATGGGGCCTGGAGTTTCATGCTGTGCTGCATGGATCCCGGGACGGGCTGGGTCGGCTCAGTGCCATGCTGCCAGGAACCACGTGGTGCTAGGAGGTACCCATCTGGCTCTGTGCCATGCAGTGTGGCATAGAGCTACAATGCCGGACCCACACAGAGCCAGCCTGGCCCATCTCATCCTGGCCCGATGGTGTGGAAAGCGAGCACCGCTGGGCCCAGCCCACTGGCTCTGTGATGCACTGCATGGGTCCTGGCATTGTGGCTGAGAACCACACAGCATGGCACGGAGCCAGCTGGCTCAGCTGGGCACTTCCCACCAGCACGTGCTTCCCGGATGCATCGCTGGCACTGCAGACCGCAGCGGGAGCTAGCCTGGCCTCTGTGGCTCCCAGCTGGATCCTAATGCCACCAGCCCCGGCCCTAGGGCCCTGCACTCCCGCCCACTGCTACTTCCTCTGCCCTGCCTGCCACCACTGCTTTTCCCTTGCCACTTCCCTTTCTTCCCCACCCACCATCACTGCCCCTCACACACACCCACTGCTTTGGCAGCATGTGGTTCTCAACTGCAGGGCCAGGACCGCATGGTGCAGCAGGAGCCAGCTGGGAGACACATGGTGTTGCCTGGGCCAGGCTGGCTCCTGCTGCACCAGTGATCCTCACCCCCCCAGCCTGTTCTTATCTGAGTTTCCCTCTTGGGCAAAGGGAGTCAGGGAACAGCCCCAAGGTCGCCAGGCCAGAAGCATCTGCTAGGCAGAAGCTTCCAGTTGGGGGCTGGGAGTGGGGTGGGGACGGATGGGCCTTGCTGCTTCTGCCAGCTCCTCCTGGGTCCTGTGGCTGCTGATGCCTATGTCATTTGACAGGCAGCCACAGGAAGATAATAATGAATTGTCTAATGTTTTAGGGGGCCTGAGGGCTGGATAGCATGGCCTACTGGGCCAGATCCAGCCTGTGGGCCGTATTTTGCCTGCCTCTGGGCTGTTAGCACAGAGCAATAAACTCTTGTGCATACTGCACTGGAGTAATTGCTCCTGGGTGCTGTGTTAAAATGTGCGCTTGGGACTGCAGTATGTTGAGCTGGGTCTGAGTAGCCCTGGTTGACAGAGGACCTGGGGGGTCAGCTTGCCAGCCTGGTGGGGGTCAGCCTGACTGCCCGGGGCTGCTCCAACTTGGCTCAACGTGCTGTGGAGGGGCTGGCTGGGGCACAAGGGTGCTCCAATGCAGGGCTAGCTGGCAGGCAGCCCCTGAACTGAAGCATCTCTGAGCCCCGGTCAGCCCTTTCCTTGTCTACATGTATGTTGCTGTACACTAAAGAACTCTGCCGTAAGATAGTACTTGTACTTACAAGTACTAACCTGCAGTGGAGTTAGTTTTCTGTGGCCTAAAAGGGCTATACATGTAGACACTGACACTTTACTTTGGAGCTAATTAGGCAGCTCCCAAGTAAACATCTTGTGTAGATGCACGCAGCAAGTAGAACAATAAGCAGGCTCAGCTCTCTAGTCGCTGCTACTCAGGTATTACAAAAAAAGATAATTTTTCTTGATTCTGCCCTTTAAAAACAAAGTGTGTTTCTTATCTTGGAGCAACCTGTGTGTGACAAAATACAATATATTTAAGGCATACGGAATATTTACACCCTTTCAGTTCAATTTCCTTAACTATCAATTATTCAAGAGAGATATAGGTTCTCTCTTATTCTATTTAAAGGTAAAAAAATAGCAAACTCTATATGAGAGTCCTTCCAGGTATTTTTCTCCTGAAAAAGGATTTCCCTTATTGAGGGTTTTTCCCTTTGAAATGTAAGCCACAACAGTTTGGGATTGGCACCTCTTTCCAAATACACATTGCAAGTTACATCTCCTTTCTGGCTAATCAACATTCATATCCATTCCAAATGCAAACTATCAGAGATCAACTTATGTTCTGGAAATCAGGGTTTCCCTCAGGTGCAAAAAACCTTTGTTTGGTTTAGGCATTCCTAACACCTAATTTAGAGATCACCCCTATTACTAGTAAAAGTCACAATTTTCAACTACAGAAATACATTAATATTAAATCCCATGGTTCATATTAATATAAAAATGATAAAACTGAACAGCTCTTAACATTAGCTATAGAGAAACCAAACTCTGTATTAGTAAATCCAATTCATGAAAATATCTATGCATGACACACTAGTAACTCCCAAACCAATTCTGATTATCGGTAGGTTTGTGACACTATGCTAAAAACATTTGCAAGGTGCTCAAACTAAAGGAAAGTAGGACTGGAAGGGACCTCACAGGATTATCTAGTTCAGCATCTCTCAACCTGTGGGTCATGACCCAAACATGGGTCACAAGAATATATGAAAGGGTCACAGACAAACTGTAAAAATGGATCAACAAACTTTAAAATTGGATTCTCTTTTAAAGGAGAAAAATATGGAAAACCGTGGCTTTTCCCTTGCAGGCTGTCAGTTCCAGCCTGAAAGGGGCTGCTTGGGGCCCTCCAGGCCTCTCCCCTTCCCCACATACCCACTCTCTGCCCCACACACTGCAGGGCTGGGGCCTGGGGGCAGGAGGCAGCAGGTCGGGAGTGAGGGGCACTGGCTTGGGACTGGCCATCTATATTTACAAATGGTCCTGGTACAAAAAAGATTGAGAACCACTGGTAGTCTAGCCGCCTGCTCAAGACAGGATCATCCCTGACTAAATCATCCCAGCCAAGTATCTTTCCAATATGCTATTGAAAATTTCCAGGGATGAAGAGTACACAACTTCCCTAGGTACCCTGTTCCAAATGCTTGACCACTCTCATTGTCAGAAAGTTCCTCCTAATCTCCAATCTAAATTTCCTCTGTTGCAGCTTGACTTCATTGCTCCTAGTCCTGTCCCCTATGGCCACAGATAAAAGCTCATCTCTATCCTCTCTGTAAACTCCCTTCAGGTACCTGAAGATTGTTATCAAATGCTCCCTCAGTCTGCTCTTCTCCAGACTAAATAACCATAGCTCTTTCAGCCTTTCCTCACAGTCTTGCTTTCCAAGCCTCACAATCTTGCTTTCTGCTGGACTCATTCCATCTGTCCATGTACTTCTTGAAGTGGGGACTCAAAACTGGACTCCTACAAGTACACCTGTACTCCAGGTGAGGTCTCATCAGTGCTGAATAGAGTGAAAGAACTGCCTCCCTTGATTTGCAAGTGACACTCCTGTTAATACAATCCAGGTTCTTTGGGTGAATCTGATATCTTTATTAGACCACTCAAATAGTTAGAAAAATTCTTCTTAGTAAGCTTTTGGGTTTAAATAACCTGTCAGGCTGAGGAAGCATCTGCAGTTGGTGTGCACTCTTCCTGGATGGAATGAATAGTAAAGAAGCCAGAGGCTGGTCTGCATGCAAGAAAGCCAGTCAGTGAAGATAGAAATTGAGGAGTCAGTGGGTGAGAGAGAGGCTGGGACGGTGGGGGAATGAATGTAACTGGTAAATAGTGGAGAGATACTTGGGGAGTCAGATGTTAGGCAGGTTATAATGTCTATTATAAATCCAATGTCTATATCTAGTTCATGATATAGACACATGCTCTCAGTGCACCTTAAATTGGGCTAAAGTGCCTTAAATCAGCACGTGTAGATGTGCCCAATGTGATATACATTTGAGAAGCAAAGATCCCACATTAAGGAGCATCAGACCAGATGCCAGATAGTGGCTAAAGTGGCTCAAGAAACTCTGCTGGCTTTCCTCTATTGCTCCTACTTGTTGAGACTGAGCAGCCTTCTGTCACTGCCTTCTGCCACTGCCCAAATTTTCTTCACAGGCTGCCTGACCTCCTCTCAGCTCGAAAAAGTCAGCACGTCGGTATTTAATACTTTACAAACAGGCATTTATAGTATTTCATGGGAATTGGACATCCAAATGCTTAAACAGGTTCAGAAACAGTTGCCTGTAATTCATTGTTGTTTCTCCATAGTTTAGTTTTAATCCTGAGGCTGTTTAGAGATACAGTGTGAACTAAAAGCAGTTTACAAGCTATGCTTCAGTCAAAAGTAGTAGTGTCTCTGTGCAGAAGCTAACCTCCTCTGCCTGCATACTGTGGAGATGATCTCTGGAGAGTTGAGAAACAGGCTGGTAGGAGTATGGTCTATTATGTCCAACCTGTAGGTCAGCATGTCTCCATTTTATTGTTTGTTTGTTCTTAGGGCCAGGCTTTGAGTATCAAAGGGGCAAGAATGAAGAACTATGATAAAGTGTACAGTTGTCTGAAGAATGTCCACACCAGCAGAATGAGAATGATCTTGTAATCAGTACACAGTTACCTCCACCCCCCTCAACTGGGATAAAGATCAGACAATACTTTTTTCCCCTTTTTTGTTGTTATAAAACAAAGAGAAGAAACGTGGCACATACCAGAATTTGTGCAAAACCCCCATTTTTCATCTCGTTCATACCGACTTGTGGTGGCACACCAGTGAAATTCCCTTCCATCCCTGGTACATTCATAATACCACTTCTTGTTGTACTGAAATGGAAAAATGCAAGGAAGACCAAGAGAATTTCCCAACAGGGTATATGTTTCTGTAATATAACACAGGGGATAATAGTAGAAATAATTACCATATTAATAATGGTAGAAATAAATGTTGTCAGTCAAATATTCGTTATGCACTTATATTTGATATCACAGCAATACTAAAATTACGGTTAGGGTATTATGTATTAAATTATTCTTTAAAATGTCTAGTTAGCTAAACTGTGGGTGCATCTGCAAGTGTGCTTTACTGTGGAGTTGACTAATTAGCTCCTCAGTAAAGCATCACCATGTACATGTATGCCAGTATTAGAGTGCAGTAAATTAACTTCACCATAAGATAGTACTGTTGGAGACATTACAATCTTACGGAGGAGTAATTTACTGCGCAGAAACGTACATATGGACAGTGACTGGGAACGCAGCAGTTTGAGTTGGTGCAGAGCAGCCCCAGGCTGGCAGCAGACTTGGATGGTCAGTTACACGGCTCCACAGTTTTGTGCCCCAGCTAGACACTCTGCTGTCCAACACCACCACCCAGAGTCTGGGGTTGAACCCCTGAGCCTGCTGCCAGCCAGGGCTGCTCTGCCCTGGCTCAAACTGCTGTGGTCCTGGCTGCATGTGCAGGGGCTGTGCCCAGGAACAGCTGACTCCAGTGCAAACTACACTGGAGTTTACCACATCGCCTTAATGGCACATGTAGATGCACCCCATTTAGAGTAATTTTTCAAAACTTAGACTTTAACTTACTACAAAAATTCACTCATATGAGCTAATATGCATAAAAATGTACAGTAATTACACATAAAATAGGTACGTTTTAATTTTTCAGTTGCATGTACAAATGCAGCTCTTGCTCAGCCAAATGTCTTTGTGTGTGTAAGTACTGTCAGGACTAGGGCTTTAATTAGCATATTGTTATTTGCATTTATTCAATAGCAAACAAGCGATATAACATAAACCCCAACAATGTTTATGACTTTTTGATCTTTTGCATTCTTTCCTCTGCTATTTCTCTTTTACATTTCTTCCTACTAGAATTGTAATACATAATGTAAAACTAAAATGTTTTATACATTTTGACTTGGGGGGGAAAAAGTGACCTGTGTTATTTGATTTCACTATCATCACAGTTAATGTTTTTACAAAACAGCCAAGATATTTTTCCAAATATATTTAGCATAACAAACAAGGCTAAGTATATCTGAAAGCTGCAAAGAGTTTTTACTTTACTTCACTAGATCAATCAATTTAATTTCTAGCACCTAAACCAGTAAAGGAGCACCTTTTTTCTAAAGCATCACAATCATGCTTAGAGTAAAACTAATGGGTGCCTATACACGTGTTTGGGGATAGTTGGGGGGTGAGGGTGTTAATCAGAGTGGTTCCTGGAGAGCTGCTCTAATTAAAACACCACAGCATCATGTGTATTAAGTCCTTGCGCATTTAAACGTGGTCACAGGATGCTTAAACGAAAGCTCATCTGACAAGATTTAGTTAAGGTGCCCCAGCAGCTATTTTTAAACCTGTGGGGGCTTATACATGTGATGCTAGAGTGTTCCAAGTAGAATGAGGAGCAGACTCGATTAATTGTGTACAGGCACCCAATGTTTGCTAAAAAAGATCCTTCTACAAAATAGGCACACCATGCACAGTATTCTCCAGATTTTCCCATTGCTAATGTTCCAATAATGGTAAGAGAAATTAATTAATTATATGTCTCTTTTAAAGCCTGCTGAAACTAACGGGCAGCATGAAAAACATGGGAGATACTGGTATTTGTTAGTGTTATATGCTCCTTTGTCTATTTGATTATGCAGTCTGCTATGTAGATGCAAATAATTAATTTAGCCCTAAATGTTTTTTAGCACATCTGCAGAGACCAAGAATCAATGGCTGCAGATATCTTAGTCACCAAGACCTAAACAGAACAGGTTGGAAGGTTTATCCACTGTTTTCTGATCAACAGTTGCTGGATAGCACAGAGGGTAGGGGACAATCCAGTGAAACAAAGAACTTAAGAGAAGTTAAAGGACAAGCCCTGAAAACAGTTGACAGTCACAAGAAGGCAGTAGTTGCTGGGCTGATACTGTCTTTTTATAGATGTCAGGGTACCAGGCATCATAGGATCATAGAAAGTAGGGCTGGAAGGGACTTCTGGAGGTCATGTTCTCCAAAACCCTGCCTGAAGCAGGATCATCCATATACAAACCAATCCCATACAAATCCTTGTCTAAAGGATAATTTGGACCTATTAAAGTCTTGAGAAGAATATTAAACTTAAGCAAGATAAATGTGTATAGGCCTTTGTTTGTTTTTTAAACCTTTTTCCATCTGATGGCTGTTTCAATGGATAAATAAATATGTCTTGAACAAGCTGTCCTTAGTCACAGTATTTCACACCAATTAATATCTTCCAAAAGTAAGACTATGGCAATGGTCAGGCCCAATAGGCCTGCTTCGAAAACATCATTGTTAAGCTAGGATTCTGGAAGTTGGGTTCCAGTCAAAACATTGGGTGAATCAGGGAATTCCACTGAGAGAAACAACAAACACTGGCCAGTCACTTGAAAGGAGTGTTCATAGAAACTGAACAAGGGGGTCAAAGGTAGTTTACTATGAACTGCGACAGACAGTTTTATCTCTTTGCCCTGAAGGTCTTTGTAAAAACATTGTTAAGATATCTGGATGTCTGAAGGGGCTCTGGCATATATTACACCTAAACTGCAGAGGTGTTTGAAATCTGGGCCTGGGTCCTGAAATTTGCTCTTATCTCTTATTTTCACAATAGGCTGAACCTAAATTCTGATCTCCATGGCCCAAAGTTCCCAGTGATCAGAATCCACTTCTCACTGTTGTCCATACATGTTATATTATTACATTTATTATGATTTATGACTGATTTTAGAGACTACTGACATGCTTCAAAACAAACAAACTGATTTGTTGTGAATTTGTCTCTGTTGCCTACAGTTCTCTCTTTCACTGCTTTACTCATGCAGAGCAGATAGTAGTTCCCATGTGTCCCTGCACTCTGAGCAGGCACAGCATGGTGGGGCCACCTTATTGCTTACAACACAGCAACAGTGGTTTTACCCTTCCTGCCACTGCAGTGCAGTAAGTCTAGTAAGGGAGGGTGATTAAAGCAGCTTCAGCTTCTGGGGGACTATACAGGCTGTGGCAGCTTGCCGGACCTGGCCTGGGGAGAAAGGAGCTGCTATGCCCTGCTAGGAGGCCAGAAAGTACCACTGGAACTGCTTACATTTTAAATAATTAAAGAAAACTTTAAGCAGATAAAAGAAAACAAGGAGAAATATGGAACCTGTGCCTGATGGAAGGCCGAGAAGCTACTCTGCAGTATTTGCATACATGCATTTTGTTTTTGCTTGAGGCTGGCTTTATATTCTAGCTTTTGGCCCTGCAGCCTGATGAGTGATGTGGGGCCCATATGCGGCCTAGATAGGCTCTGAGGCCCAGCATAGTCCCTTTCCTACTCCCCACACATCGGGATTGGGTCCCAAGAATCGAGTGCCATTCCCTTCTGCCCCCCACACTGTGACTGGGCCCTGGGGCCCAGCACTCTCCCATCTGGCCTTGTGTGCTGGGATTAGGTGCCCGATCCAAAATGCAGGGCCCAGGGATCCCCATGGATCCAGAGTTTTAGCAGCAGGGGAGCACTCCCCTACTGCCAAATTTCCAGACCTGTGTGGAGCCCTGTGGACCAGATGCCACAGCCCTGCAGGACAGATCTATCTGGCCTTCAGGTTGAGCACCCTTGTTCTGCACCATCTGTGCACATACTTATGAGGGGGAAGATGGGTTATGTGAATAATTTTGCAAACAGCACTAAATCAGAGCACACAGTTTGCTTTAAAATCCATTAATTTTTAATCAAATCTTATGGGGTGTTTGTAGTTCTTCTGGCAATTCTTCAGAGTGTAGAATTGGCAGTACTGGTATTCAGATTCAGCTTTTACTGCTATATACTATAGATAAAAATACCTGCACCATGGCACTGCCATATCAATCAGTTACAAATGATCATGTCCTTAATAAATTGTGTCTCAGAGAAACCCTACAAAATTCTAATGAAAGGTGAATAGGAGTTTAAGTTTTATTTTTTACCTTCAAATGGATGCTCACAAAGATCTTCATCATCGGATGTGTACTGCTTCCACTTATGGTTAGACATTCTTTTTGCCACAATATGATTGCCGTTTTCAGCAGATAAGTGGTACTGTGATGCACCAACCACCACCTTTCCATTACAGTTCCACCATAACGAATGCTGAGTAGAATCACATTCAAACATACTTAATGGTTGCTCTTGCTTACTGAAGTTGAGTCCTAGGCAAGTGCTTGTGCCTACATTGTAAAGATGACGATTAGAGACCCATTTCCACAACATATAGTTGGAACGTTGATTGCAGTCTTCAAGAACAAGTCTGGATGTATCTGCTTTAATGCAAAGGTTGAAGTCTTCACTTTGGATAATAAATATTCCTTTATCTGGGGGAGGGGGAAAAAAGTTCCATGTAAATTTTACAGGGTCATGGCCTTAAGTTGGGCCAACTGAATTAAAACTATTAACTGCAAAATTAACCTTCAAAATAGTATTATAATCATTGCAGGGGTGTAGGTTGTAGCCGTCCTGGTCTAGGGACATAGGCAGACAAGGTTCCTTGGGTGAATTTGGTATCTTTTTCCTTAGCCTGACGAAGGGTTTTTGAACCCAAAAGCTTGCTTAATAACTATTCTCCAACTATTTGGGTTGGTCTAATAAAAGATATCAAATTCACCCAAGGAACCTTGTCTGCCTATTATAATCATTGGCAATTCAGAGACAAGATTGTTCTAAATTTGTGGAGATATATTTATAAAAAATACTTAGCCATGCTTCATAACCAAATACAAAAAACACCCTACATATGATATTTCTGAACTCTTTTGTTAAAACATCCCAAAGTAAAATACTTATATAAAATACAATTTTAAATATACATGTTAAGACTTTAAAAAAAGGAATGAGTGATTTCTGGTGACCAAGAAAGATGCTTTAAAATAGAGGATTTTTTAGAAGATGGATACTCAGTAAAAATCTGGCCCCTTTCATGTATTCCCAAGTGGATACCAACTGAGGCACCCAAGATTATTAGTAACTTTTGAAAATCTTGGCCACAGTGAAACATTAAATATAGAAGCAAGATTTAAAATGTTACAGTAAGGGTAATTGAAAGGAATGTTATATGCTAAAAGAGAATTCTTGTATGGAAAGAACAGGAGAAGTTAAGAGTAAAAGAAAAATGTGGGTGAAAGTATCAGTCTCACATATAGGTATTCTCCCTTCTCTGCTGTCATCCAAGAGGAAAACATGTCCAGTATTATAAATGGGATGTAAAATGCTGACTTATTTCAGGGACTTATTTCAGTTATTGGGGCTGATGCCCATGAATTGCATACCCTTAAACTGTTGAATGCATACTTATCAACTATATCTGAACTTGTGGATATTCCAGGCTTCATATGTTTTTAAGACTGTGATTACACAGAAATTCACTTTACCATTTTAGAGCCAAATGTTTATCTCAGAACATTACTTGCATAATCAAGCTCTACATAGGGAGTTAACTGGGAAGTTGCAAAACATAGAGAAAAAGAATAGCTGAGCTATTATCTTCTACACTGCAGTTACTGAAGTTAAATTTAACCAGGGAGTTCCTGCAATAATAAAATTGAGGTCTTTAACACTTTTCATTTATTCCCTATCAAGAAGTTAATCTGGCTAATTTAACATTTAAAACAAAATGGAGATAAGGATCTGATGATGTTGTATGCACACGTGTTCACATACTGTCATCTATAATCAATTGTCCAGAATTCTAAAGTGATAATATTTTCAAACACACATGCAACTTATACACAAAAATTATTTCTTCCACCATTGACACAAAACTATACAACAATTTTGGGCAAGTAAACCTGCATAACTGTTTTTACCCAACTACAGGGAAAATGGAGGCATTGTCATTTTCCAGCACCCTAAACATTTTCTCAAAGAGAAGTTACCCTTTTTCTAAAGGCTACTGGTATACATTTCAAGGGTGCAGAATGGGCACATGCTTCATATACCTATAGTGTAGAACAAAGTTTTACTTGTATTACATGAAGGACACCTGTAATGCAAGAATTTTATATTAGTACATAAGTTCAGTGAGTAAACATTTTACTATTTGTGCTGGGGAAGAGAGGGGAGGGAAGCCTGGTAGACTCTTGCATACTAATATGGCAGTGGTACTCGACCCTTCTGGGCTGTGGGCTCAGATGAGTGGTGTGGCCATGGGTCAGATCCAGTGCATGAGACAGATCCTATGCAATGAAGCCAACTTCCCCAGCCCTGGCCCCATGTGTGTGCCAGCCCCAACCCCAGCCCTGTAAGCACTGGATTGAATCCACCACCTTAGCCCCAGCCCTGTGTGTCAGATCAGGCTCACTGCCCCAGCCCTGTGCTCCAACCCCATCTGGTGCACAGAGCCATTATCATCTTGCCCAGGGTTCTTAGAAATGTGAAGGCAGGGTAGCAGTAGCAGTGTTAATTGCTACTGCTCCCTGCTGCCAAATACCCAGACCTATGGGGAGCCCTCAGTTTGAATAACAGGCTCTGCAGGCCACATTTAGTTCAGAGGCCAGAGGCTGAGTACCACCAATGTGAGCTGTTTCTACTAATAGGGCCAGGGCAAAGAAGCAAGGAAAACACGACCAGATTTCCTTTTTGCAGGCTGTCCTTCCCACTGGAGAAAAGAAGATTCAGTTCACCTAAGCAGAGAATATGCTGAGCAAAATTATCACAGAATGCTAGAGAAGGGCTGAAAGGGACCTCTACAGGTCATATACTCCAACTCTCTGCCTGAGGCAGAATATCCCTATCCAGACCATCCTATACAAAACAATCATCAATGGGTGGCTATTAGCAAACTGTCTGGTCATAATTGAGTTTAAGTTCTCAGGGCTAGAGACTTTGAAAAGAGTGCGCCAGCCTGCCTGGACATAAGACCAAGCTCTGGCAGTTAAATACCGTATAACCCATAGGAAGACATAAGAAACAGCGCAAATTGTGTTTGCAGTACTGTTCTTCCCTATCTATCTACCTGCTCTGTTACCTGTGACTTATACTGATTTAGGCCAACCCTCTTGAGCAACAGGCATATTTGAAACTGCTGTTATGCAGTTGCTTTCAGATAAGATATTTCATCCTGCATTATCCAATTGGCTGTCAACTACCACATATCTGTCCCCTTCAGTGTAGGCTCAGATCAAGGCTCTTGTCCTGACTATGCTCCTCTACCTACTCCTTAAATAATTTGTCCTAGTCCTGCACTTTTTGGGCTAATCTAGAGAATCAGACATGTTATTCAGGTTCTCCATTCACCCTTGCTCCCAGGTCTAGCCAACTTGCATAATGTAGTTAGTTTAAGATTAGGTGCTGGCCTGGTTTTTCTTACAAAATCCAAAACTGTGGGCCATATCACCAGAATGGCCTCTGCCTTTAGGCCTTGTAATCTGGGATATGCTGTTCTTGGCACAACTTTATTGCAATCCAGCTACAGTTGCGACTAACTTAAGTCCCAAGTCAGTCCATACACAGCATTAATGTTCTTTAACGCTGCACATGTAGATGCCGGCCTATTCCTGCTTATTGCACAGTAACTTGCTGCACAGTAAATTTAAGTCAGCATTGCACATGTAAACACACCCTGTGACTCCCATCCTGCAAAGTGCAACAGCAACTTTGACCAAAATGGTGGAGCTTTTTATGAACATGGTAAAGCCATGCTGGGGGGGGGGGGGAAAGATTATTGAGCTTTAAAACAGGGAATTCTTTTGACTCAGAAAAAGGTCCCAGTAGGCAAGTCCCAAACTGCTTCCAAAACTATCCACAGTCCATAGTGACTCCCATGTAGCCACCTTCTAAAAGAAGTAGGTATGCACCGATAAAGATATTCTTGATTGATACCAATTATTAACCAGCCATACTAGCTGATACCAATCTGATAGCCAAATTACAGGAATGTAGCCCAGCAGCTTGGAGAGCAGTGTCCAGGGGGGGGAAAAAAGGGGGGGGGGGGGGGGGGAGGCAGAATGAGGCCCCCCATGGTGAGGCAGGGAGGGTGTGGGGCAGGGGCAGGTGCTGCCCAACCAGGGCAGTGAATGCAACCCCACCAGGAGCAGGATGGAGCTGCAGGTGGCTTGTCCACAGGATGCAGAGGGTGGGGAGGAGGGGTGGCTCCCTGCCACTGTGCACATCCCTGGGGGAGGCATGGGGGGCATGTGCCCACCCCAGATTTGGGCATAGAACAAGGGCAGGCTGCCTACTGCAGGCCAGGGGCTGCACCAGCCTCTTCTCAGCAAGGGGGCTGGGGTCAGGACTGTGCTTGGGTTAAGCAGTGGCAGCGCTAGGAGAGGGGCCTATGGGATGGACTATGGCCATCCCAAAATTCACCGTAGGCTGCCCTACATAGCAAACTCTTCCAGCACTGGTACCCCACCCTGCTCCTGCCTGCCCCAAGCACAGCCCCGGCCCACCCTCCCCCCCACCGGGAAGAGGCCAGCACAGCCCCTGCCCCCAAGCCCACAGAGGACAACTCACCCCATGCACAAATCTGGGGGGTACATGCTGACCATACCTCCCCTGGGGGTGCACACAGTGGCAAGGAGCCGCCCCCCCCATCCTTCCTGTGCCTCCTGAATGTACCGCCTGCAGCTCTGTCCTACTCCCTCCCTCACTGTAGGGGCCCTGATCTGTCCTCCCCACACCCCAGCACCCCACAGACTTACTGGCTGGACACTGGTCTCTAAGCTGCTGGGCTGTATTCCTGGCCACGTGCATGCTGTGGCTGCATGTGTGTATATAGCATTTATTGGTGACATTATCAGCTACACTGGCCAAAAAACCTGATTGCTAATAATGTCAATTTTCCTTTTATTGGTGCCAATCTGATATGCCACTGACATATCGGTGTACCTCTAAAAAGAAGTCTTTTTTCAGAGAATTGTAGAACATTTCAACTTTCTTTACCATTAAGACTGTTACTTAAGAAACATTGTAGATAGTTACTAAAAATGGGCAAGTTGCCTTACCTGAAGTACATGTTTACAGAATCACATTTGGCTCCATCCAAAATTTCTAGGAAGATTTTTAGGAATGATACCAATAGCAATACTGTTCCCTTCATCATCATGGGCATGGATCTATGCCATCACTGGGATAAAAAACTACCTGCACAGGGTGTACTGGAAAAGCTGTCATCATCAAATGTTGCAGAACTGCAATTTTTTCACTCAGACTAAGTGATGGGAAAGAGCCAGTATAGAAGTATCTCATGGTGGATAAAACTAATGATATCTCGATCACCCTCCTTTACAAGGGAAACTGAAGCAAAAACTGCATAAGGAAGGAAGCTCGATTCAGGCAGCTTGAAGAAACCACTGTTCAGGCCACCTGTTTAGCCAGCACTCA